AATAACAAAATTTGTAGTTTTGCTATTCTTTACAACTCAATGTTTTATTTAAATTAGTGCATATAAAGCTGATCTGTGGTTTTAAAATGAGACTTTATTCCCATATAAGTGCAACCTGATGAAAAAGAGAATGGATTTTTTAAAATCAGCTCATTTTACTGTTTTTATTTTTATCTTTTGCACAGACTCTTGCTGATTTTTTGAAACACTTGTATTCTTTTTAAACACATTGGCTTTTTATTTTTGTGTTAACTGAGTCAACATAACATTTTTACAATAATTCACAAAATAGAAGCTTGACAACTGGCACACACTTCATGCAAACTCAACTAAACTGTGTATTAAAGTGAAACAGTGGGGAATAATCATCTGCCACCATAAAGAAGGGGTTGTTGTTTTAAAGATAAAAATTGTACAATTCCATTTTCAGTAACTAGTTTCATGTTTTGTTTAACTTTGTCCTGACTGTGGGCTCTTCTCCTCAGGAACAACTGACCTCAGCTTCATTGACCCCGTGGTCATTGGCAGAAAAGTTTTCCAAGTTTTTAACGACTTTGTGAGCAGAGTAGCAGGATACATCCAGGATGTGCTCTGTGCAGTGTTGGATGTGATACTGGATACTTTAAACAGTGCGTATCTCTTTGCTTATGAGATTTAACTCATATTATTATCACAATACATCTGCTGTTGTTTCAGTTTTCCCTCAATTCTTACTTTTTCCYCTTATTACCTACTGCTCAGGTATCCAGGAGGCTGTGGGATTCAGCCCCATATCAGGCCTGAAGACGACAGTAGACATCACCAAAGAACAGGTTAACATGCTTGTGGGCTTCCTCTCCTCAACACTGATTGGTGAACAAGGTGCTCCGTGTCTTATTATCAAATTTGACTATTTGTTCTCAGTAAAAGGACTCTGTTTTCTGACTCTTCTCTGGTTTTGCAGGTATTGTGCCTGACGTGTCTTTTGACCCGATGAAAGTGGTTGAGGATGCCGTGTTGGAGTTTTCTGACAAGAAGGATTTGTTCTTGAGTTACATTTCGAGCATGCTGGTTGGTGACCAAGGTCAGACTGTTTTTACAAATAAAAATGAAACAATTGATTAAAAAATTTGACATTTTATTCTAAACATCTGAATTTCTCTTGTTTTAGGTGAACCTGTCACCTCCCCGGTTGTAAATATAGTCACTGAAACAGGTTTCACAGTTTTCTTGCAACTTGAAACACAACATTACCAAATTATTACAGCTTCTTTTATAGCTACAGGTTCCCTGAAACACATATCTTTGTCTTTGTTTAGATGAAACTGTAGTTTCTCAACCTGACATCAAGCTGGTCCAAAAGAAAGGTAAGAACATAGATTTTATATTTGATTGAGAAAATAAAGATACTTAAAAAAAACTTGATTTTTTTTTTCATCTTTTAAATTTAGGTGAATTTCTACCTCCAGATGAAAAAGGTAAGAACATGTCTCAGTTCTGGGCACGTAGAGAATAAAATGATTCTTTAAAATCTGATGTCATGATGCATTGCCAGCTTGAGTGCATAGATTGGCTGAATGATTTTTTAATGATGTTTCTTCTGCAAACTTGCAACAATCTGCATATTTGTTTTCAAACTGTGCAGTTTTATGTTTTTATGGAATGTCTTGAAGTTCATGTTATTATTAAGTTTGTGTTGGTCTTATTTTATTAAACACAGTTTTAATTCAGTATTTTGAGGCATGGACCAAAATGCATCTGGTGAATCTTTGTGGTAATAAATAAGTTCAGTAATCACACTGTTTCTTTCTTGTTATAACCTGTTTTAAATTGTGCATTAATGTTTTGAGTTGAGTCGACTTGTTTTGTTTTACTGAAGGGAAGTGTTTTTCAGTGTAACACTGCATATGAGAACTCATGAATGAAAAATAAATGAATGAATGTGACTTTTGGATATTTCAATTGTATTTTACGTTGCATTTTTCTTTATACATCTGTATCATAACCATTTCAATAAAATGTATTATACATACATACATACATACATACATACATACATACATACATACATACATACATACATACATACATACATACATGGATGATTTCATGGATTAAATTTTAAGTATTATACACGAATAAATATGGTATGTAC